TAATACCAAATGTCTTCAAGCCCATGAGCCTAATCATACAGGGTAGTGTCTTCAAAAAAGTTTGGAGTAAAAGTGTTTTATTTATCTCCTCTTCAGGCTGTTGGTAAGGAAGGGGTTGCTACCCTATAGTTAAGGGATGGCCGAACACTGGACAGATGAGATAGATAGTAGTTTATGTGTCATAGATACTCACAATCCTGGGAAAGAGGACATTGCACACCCTACAGGGTCCTTTGGGGGTTACATCTGGGAACAGAATGAAAAAGCAGGAGTGCTAGGAGACAGGTTTGTAGAAACAAGAAGGTAGGGTGGCCCTCATTCCTACAGAAGAATGTGATTGGCTTGTTTGAATAATTCTGCAGCTGAGAGGGAACTGAAGCCTGATACTTGAGAATGAATTATGCCTGGTCCCTGTGATAAGGAGGGTTGTTTAGTAGGAGACCTCTGTTGAACAGAGGGTTGGACAACATGCAGTTTGGCAGTTTGAAGCCCTTCCCATTTTACCAGACATCAGGACAACACTTAATATGAATCTTAATTTCAGGCTTTAGACACAATAAATAATTAAAAAGTAATTCTTCCTAGAACTAATAATTGAGTTTTAGCATTGTCACAAGATATAAAGTAACATTCAAAACTCACTTGCATTTAGAAATACTGTTAGCAATGAACATGGTAATATCAAAATTTAGAATATATCTATAATCACTAATAAAAATGAAGCACTTAGGTGTAAATCTAACAAGCCATGTATAGGACTCGTACGCTAAAAACTGAGCAATGTGAATAGATGAATCAAAGATTTAAATCAATGGAGAGATATATCATGTTTGTGGATTAGAAAACCACATGTAGTAAAGGTGTTAATTTTCCCCAAATTGATACAGAGATTTAATGAAATTCCTATCAACATTCCAACAAGAGGTCCAGCCCTATGGCTCAGCAGTTAGACACTGTGCACAGGAAGGTGGGTCCCACATGACTGACCAAGGTTTGAATCCTGGCTCCACTGGCTACATGCAGGACTCAAGCACGTGTGTGTCCAGGAATGTGACAGATGGAGAATTGGAGAAAGGATTGTGGCATGAACAAGGCCCCATGGCAAAGTGCTTTCTCTCTCATTCTTGTGCATGTACTATCATGAATAATAATTTTCTTTTATAAAGATTTATTTTATTTAACTTTATTTATTTATTCTAGTATGTCCAGAGAGGGACAGAGAGAGAGAGAGAGAGAGAGAGAGAGAGAGAGAGAGAAAGCAAGCCACCATGTCTGGGACTCGAACCGTGGTCTGTCATGCCCTTAACCACCATGCCACCTGCTGGCCCATTAATAATAATTTTTGAAAAACATTTTAAAAAGTCTTAAGATTTTTTGTAGTTATAGGCAAAACTATTATACAATTTAATGGTAAAGCAAGGAATTAGAATAGCTAGAACAACTTTTTAAAAAAGAAGACAAAGTAAGACCAATTAGTCTACCCAATTTCAAAATGTATTATTACTCAGCTGCAAGTAATCAAGATTGCATAATATCTAAAGAGGGGTAGACATAGTCAGTGAAACAAAGCAAAGAACCCAGAAATAGTTTCACACAAATGTATCCAGCTAATTTTTGAGAAAGGTACACAAGCAATTCAGTGGAGCAAAGATAGTCCTTTTAACAGGCTACTGCTATTTACAGCTCGTGAGAAAAATCACAGGCCTAAAACTTGGAAAACCGGGCCAGCAATGAATGCAGATAGTGGATTGACTGAGATACTGCCAAGTGGTTATGGGAGGGTGGGATAGTGCACATCCAGCTTGAGCTGCAAGGACCAGAAGGCAGGTTCATTCATCTTTTTGAACTCAGGAACCTGGACCTGAAATACTTACTTTGCTGCTTCTAATTTATCAGCTCTGCAGATCATGGTAATTTTTCAATCAGCTTCCACACTGCACTAAGTCACCCGTATCTGAGAATACAGTAGCTTTTCCATTAGCATCATTCTCAGCCCATTCAAGGTAGCAAGATGGCTTTCAGTATCTTCAACGGGACACCCTTCTAGATTCAAAGCTGGTAGAAGATAGAGCTCTTCTAAATTTATTTCCATTCAGCCCCTGGGATTCAATCTGGTTGAACCAACCCATTTAGCACCCCTCCATTGCCCCAATGTGGTTAGGTGATTGTGTGTGTGGATTGGTCAGGCCTTATACAGTTCTACCCAGAGTCAGGCAAGGCTCCTCACTTGACCCACATGGACTAAAAGACAGGATTTAGTTCTCCATAAGAAATCCAGCTATGGGAACCAGGAGTTAGCGTAATGGCTATGTCGTTGGACTCCCATGTAGTCGACCGCGGTTCGCGTCCCGGACCCGGTGGCTTAAAACTCACGCCGGGCGCGTGTGCGTGCGTGCCCAAGATCCCGAGAGGAGAATGGAGGAGAAGGGATTGCGGCGTGACCATCCCCCCTGGGGGGTGATTTCTCGCTTTCTGTCTCTATGTCTCTCTCTGTCTGTCTCGCGCCCTATAGTGAAAAACCTCTTTCAAAAAAAAAAAAAAAAAGAAAAAAAGAAATCCAGCTATTTGTTATAGAAGAAAGGAATACTAACTGGCCGAATCAGCAAATGTCCACTCTAACCTCTTGGGGGAAAATCCCATGGCCAATGACCAGCTCTTTGCCTCCAATATTAATGTTTGCAGTGCTTTTACACTGCATCATTTCTTTCATTGACTTTGTCAGAAGACACAGACTAGTTGGTAGTGACCCTTCTCTGTCTGAGATATTGCTCCAAGATTATTTGTCTTGTCTCACATTAAACATATTGTTTCATATTTATGGGGACCAGCAGATGGCGTACTGGTTACATTGCTGGACTCCCACATGGCCAACCATGGTTCGAGTCCCAGAACTGGTGGCTTGAAACTCATGCCGGAGATGTGTGTGTGCGTGCCCAAGATTCCAGGATGAGAATGGAGAAAAAGGGAGTGTGGTGTGGCCATCCCTCTTTGGGGGTGATTTCTCACTTTCCCTCTCACGATCTCTGCCTTTTTCTCTTTCTGGTGAGTGTACAAAACAAAACAAAACAAATTTGTCTCATATTTAAAAATACCATGCAGACTGAGATGGCTCAGCTTGCCATCTCTAGGCTCCATACCTGTGTCATAAACTTCTAGACTCTCAACCAGAAGCTTACACGGAATGAAGTGACCTTGCAGGAAAGTGCCGAAAGAGTTTGAAACGACCCTCAGTGAAAACTGACCAACAGCCTCTGAATCACCAACTTTTCTGAATCAAAAGTACTTCAAAGAATAGAGTTATTGTTTGCTCATTAAACAACAAAAACATGTCATGCATCTGCCTCCACCTTCTTCTAGTACTCTCGGTGTCACCATCCAGATATGTGGGAATGTTACCTTAGACCACTTCCTGTTAACTTTTATAACCCACTAATACCTATGGAGTGTGTACGCTGCCAAGCTGGGATACTTGGCTTGTTCAATGGTTTGCACTGCTGACTTTGCAAAGAATCACTTCAAGAAAATGATGTATTTCCTCACATCACCACTCCTCTTGGCAAACTCCCTAAACCTCAGCCTTTCCCCACTGTTATTTCTACTGTGAGTATCAATGAGCTCTTGAGCCTTTATTCAATACAAAGCAAGCATTTGATATCTGATCTTACCCCAAGGTGTGTGTTCTGGGTTTTTGCTGTTGTTTCTTCTTTAATGAGTGTGATTCAAAGTTCTTGAAGTTTTTTGAGTATGTTTGTTCCCTGGTCCCAACACCTGACAGGTAAATGAAATATAGAAACAAACTTGTCTATGTAGAAAATGTGGTATAATACATCTAAAACAAAACATATGTAATGAACACATTGGATATGCTTAATATTGAAACAAACACGTGACTCCACTACAACTTGAGAGACTGAAGAGGTGTCTAGGTACTCTTTCCTAATCCCTTTCACTATCCAACTGTGTCTTACTCTTCCCAGAGTCCTTAGAGGCCACCACTATCCTGATACCTGTTTTTTCATTTCTCTGAATTTTTGTATAGTATATTTTACTACATATGTATGTTTCTGTAAACAACATTACTTTTGCTTGGTTTAAATTTCACCAATATGTTACTAAGCTTCCTTCTTTCACAGGATATTATGTTTCTGAAATTCGACCATTGATACTTGTACCTGATAGTTGTAGTTCATTAATTCTCAGTGTTATGTAGTCTTCCATTGTATTAGCTATGTACATATTATTTCCTTCACAGCATTTCAAAGGTAATTGTGTGCGCAAAACCCTTGACAGAGCCTTTGACGCAGAAACGGCACTCAAAAATGTTTTTGTTAAATTATTGAACACAATTAAACTCCTACTGAATGTAACAACTTACACATGCTTCTGGGATTCTCTGCCCTTCGCTCCAATGCTAAGGATTCTGCTAGTTTTTCCGCCCAGAGTTGATTATAGTTAATTCTGCTAGTTTTTCCGCCCAGAGTTGATTATAGTTACATTTCGTGACTAGCAATAGGAAACCAGGTGACCTCCCAAAACATTTACGACTACACTTCCCAGAAAGCATTGCGGTACTGTAGCACCGTCAATTTCGGTTTACTTTTTCCCTCGGCGAACTTCCGGGTTGTGTGGGCGGGGTCAAAAGAGTCTTCCAATGAACACCTCCGCAGGCTGAGAGGGCGGGAAATTACCCAATGAGTGTCAGGGCAGAGGCGCCAATCAGCGGGGAGGTTGCTGAAGCAGCCGCGTGGGCGGCGTCATTGAGTTGCGCCCCTGAGCCCGGTGAAGCCCAGCCCTTCTCTTCTGCCTTTTTCTTGTGTTAGCTTTTCTTCCTGCCACCTGTCGACCCTGCTTCCATGTCCCTGGTGGGCACGGCACCCTGCAACTTCCACGCTTATGGCTGCTAGCCTGAGGGAACCCAGTTACACTTCTTCCGCCTCGAGCTGCGACACGGACGATGAGGGCGTGCGCGGCACCTGCGAAGATGCTTCTCTGTGTAAAAGGTGCGGGCCGGGCGAGGGGTTAGGGGATGGCATCCCAGGACTGGGCCAAGGTAGGAGGAGGTCTATGTCTGAGGAGTACGCCTGGATGCCACAAGGGACGTCGCATGAATCCAAGCTGCCCTTGCTCCACACCTGTGAAATGCACAGAGCAAGGGTTCATTTATTTAAGTACTAGTTTCTGTGTTCCTGCTGTGTGCCAGGCACGATGCATGCCTGGGGTGCAGTGAATGGGAGTGGGTCGCAGAACCAGGCAGGCGTGCTCTTGGCTCTCATGGAGCTAAAGTCTTTCTGGAGACAGACATCAAGTGGATAGTAGCTACAATCTTATGAGGAAAGGTGCATTTTTTGTAGGTTGCGCGACCCCCATTGTGCCCCCGAAGTTCAGGCCTGGGATCACAGGGAAAAAGACCTGCCCACGGCCAGATACTATTTGTGTGCAGAGCCAGTACCACTCCAGGCGTCCACTGTTACGGGTGTGGTAGCAGGGCTTGGGGTCAAGGGCGGTACCAGCACAAGTACCTGTCAGAAAAAGAGAAGACGTGAGACCTTCATTCATTCACTCATCAAGCAAAAATTATGTCAGGCCTTACTCTGGGCTGTTTGAAGGGGATTGAATGCTTGGAAATATGTGAAAAACAAAACAGACTTGGTGTCAGATGTACTAGAACTCTCAGCCTAGTTGGGAAAGACAGACAGGAAAAATAATTACCCTGGGAATACATAACTACAATTTGGGTTGAGTACTCATTAGAATTTATAGTTAGACAGGGATGTTTAAACTGAGAACAAAGGGGTTAAAAAGTGGGCGTGCTCAAGCAGAGGAAGGGAGGGTTATGATCTATTAGAGAAACTGAAAGAATGCTCTACAGTTGGAATAAGTTGGCCAGGGCTGCAGGGACTCTATGGAATGGGGAAAAACAATGTTTGGGATTAATACTTGCACTTTTGTAAATTTTTGAAGGCTACTCATAGTGATTCAGAGCATGAATTCTGGAGCCAGACCGTCAAACTGAGCTCTGCAATTTACTAACTTGTAAACTTAGCCGTTATTAAACCTTCTGTGTCTCTGTGTCTTGATCTGTAAAATGGGAACTATAGTAACACCCGCTTCATAAATGGTTGTAAAGATTAAATGATTTTTAATATGACTGGAACATTTAGAGCAGTGTCTGGCTTGTGCTAGCTGTTAGTGGTTGATTAAATAAATACATACATACAGAAAGTAAAGACTTAGAGATGGTTCCTGGTATAATTTGTGAACTTAAATGGATTATGCTCAGCTTTCTTTCTTTTCCATCTTTTAGTTGCTATCGATCACATCTATAGCACTGTTGAATTAGAAATAATTTTTCTAATATTGACAGCTGTTTGGTAAGAGAATTTGACATGCCATAAAAATGATCAGAGAGTAGTAAAATTCTTTCCAGTAACACATTAGGGTTAGGGTTTACTTAGTTTGTTGATAATACTTTTTGCAAACTTGTTTAAATTAGTAATAAAATATGCAAATGCCAAGTACAGTATAGAGAGGTAGTCTTATTAGAGTGTGCCTTTCCTTGACTATGTCAGATAGCATTTATAATTTCAGCTCTTTTCCGCCTCAGTTTCCAATGACCTCTGTGTTGCAAATATCTAAGTTTTGCAGAGAGGTTAATTTCAGAACTGCAAAGAATATAAAGTAGTATTTCCCAACCTGAACCGCATAGCAGCATAACCTGTTAGACTTTTTTAAAAAAAAGCGAGCACACACACCCTATAGCAAAAACCTCTAAAAAAAAAAAGCTACAGGGACCAGCAGGTGGCATAGTAGTTGAGGTGCTGGACTCCCACATGGCTGGTGTGCTTCAAGTCCCGGCTTGCTTTCTCATTTTCCCTCTCTGATCAAATTAAAAAATAATAAGAAGAATTCTTAAAAAAAACAAAAGGACGAAAACTCTGATCCGTGGGCCTACTTTTGGGCATAGTCCTGGGTTATAAAGACACACATTCATCACCTGGATGCATTTCATGAAAACTTTTATACACTAGATTTTTCCCTTGTCAGAAAAAAATTTGCAAAGGAATTATGAGAATTAATAAAGTTAATTAATTTTTAATTTTTAATTTTTTTGAGAGATTTTTGCTATAGGGTGCATATGCTTGTCAGACAGAAAGTGAGAAATCATCTTCCAGGAGGATGGCCATACTGCAATCCCTTATCCTCCTTTCTCCTCTCAGGATTTTGGGCATGCACGCACACATGCCCAGTGTGAGTTTTAAGCTGCCAGGTCTGGGACTCAAACCGCTGTCGACTGTGTGGGAGTCCAGCGGTGTAACCGTTACATCATCTGCTGGTCTCCATACGTTAATGTTTTAAGCCATTTTGTGGGACTCAGATGTCTCTGAGGTTTTGTAATATTGTGATCTGCTCTTCACCATAATATATTAAACCATTAAATTTTTTTTAAAAATTATGATATTAAGGATTCCAGGCCAGCTCCATGGCACAGTGGTGAGGTGGTACTCCAGAGAAGCCAGATCTCACGTGGTGACTACAGTTCAAAACCCCAGCCTGGCTGGGCTGAATCACACACCCAGTATGTATGTAAATGTGACCAAAATCTGACAGGCTGGAAGACTGGAGAAAGAGAATCATGGTGTGACCAGAACCTGTGGAGGGTGCTCATCTCTCTCTGTGCCTAGTGTGCACACACATATACTCTATCATGAGTAAAGAAAAAAGAATTGAAAAGGTTTAAATAAGGATTCCTTGCATTAATAATGGGCAGATTATTTTCCACTTTTTGCCTCAGTCTTCTCATCTTTAAAATGAATATAGTAAGGCTAACCTACCTTTTGGGCATGAGAATCAAATGAGATAATTGATGCAGTTAGCAGGGATCTTGCACTCAGTGACTATTTAATAATCAATAAATGATTATAACTACTTTTTACTTTCCTCCAGTGTGAATATTAGGTGGTTAAAGTTGCTGATAGGTAGTAGCTGTGGATCAAGCTGGTTCCTGCTATCCTGATTTACCACCATAAAAATCTCTAAAACCGCATTAAAAGGCCGGTTGACCTCCCAGGGCATGTGATTCTGTTAATTCTGTTTTAGTTTGCTCCCTCCTTTTGTTTAGAGGCCTTCTGGAGATAATAATGATGCTGTCTATCTCAGAGGGATGTTATGAAGATTAAGTGTGGAATATTTTCAACAAGGCTTGGCGCATGTTAGGTGTTCAGAAGTTACTGTCAGCATTGCCATCTCCGTCATCATTGACCTTTATCATCATCAGCACCACCAACTTGTGCTAGCAGAACTGTTCTGGTTGGTTTTATTAGGCTTATAATTACTAATTCCATTTGATTCAACAGGTGTCTATAGAGCACTTACTGTGATAGCTGACGCTCCTCCTCTCACCTCTCCTTATGCCCATCATGCTATGCCTCTAAATCAGGTCTCTACTCTTTGTTTAACTATGACCCAGTGCTCCCACCAAACCCTCATTATGTCCTCTGAAATTACCACAGTCTACAGTCTCTGTTTCCTCAAGTTCTCCATAGTCTTTGCTCCCTCTCTTTGCCTTAACCTTGCTCCTTTCTTAAGGATATCTTTTTCTTGAAGACATCTCGAGACACCCCTCTGTTTTCTCATACCCTGCATATGTTAGGACTGGGGGTTCAAAATATGTGTCTTCTCTGTTGGTTGTTCCCTTCTGCATTTCTTGGTGATCTGTGGTTCCCAACTGGACCTCCTTGTTCTTCTCGGTGTTCTCATCTTCCTGCTTGGGATTATTCACCTAATTCATTGAAGACTTGGGTGCCTGGCCCACAGTCTTCTACTCACCCTTAATCCTTGACATCATTGTAGGTGACCTAAGTGTCCACATGGAGACCCAGCCTACACATGGGCAGTCATTTTCTTGACAACTTCATCTACAGTGATGACCTCTGCTCATCCTTTGTCAACCATTCCCACCAGGATACCTTGGATTTCCTTCCTGATAACACACTGCCACACAGATGAGCAGTGCTTTACTCTCCACCCAGAGCATCTCTTTCCAGTCTGCTTGTTGAATTATTTCAGTTGTGTGCGTTTTCTTCAGGACCTTCTTGGTTTGTGTCCTTTACATATTCCCTCTCTGCTGTTGGCAATTGAGCCAGAAGTTCATAGTCCATCCTTCAGTCGTTTTCTCAGCAGTGCCTTTATTTTCCTTGGTCCTAGCAGACACAAAACCCCTGTTGAACCAAACCATTTATTTTCACCCTGAATCCTGGTGGCAGAAATCATGTAACAGGATACCTTATACCACCATGAACTCATGTCATTCAACCTTATCTATGCCCTTAGTAAAGCTTGGCCATTTTAGGTTTCTCTGGTCAGCTCACTCTCTCATTATCCAGAATGCTCAACTCAGACATTTCCCTCAGACTTTTAATTTACCATACCCCCATTCTCAATATATCATCACTTTTTTTTTTTTAAGAGAGATTTTTGCTATAGGGCACATGCACTTGCCAGAGAGACAGAGAAATAGAATGTGAAAAATCACCCCCTGGAGGGGTGGCCACACTGCAGTCTTATCTCCTCCATTCTCCTCTTGGGATTTTGAGCATGCACACACATGCACGTGGCATGAGTTTTAAGCTGCTGGGTCTGGGACTTGCACCCTGAATCCTGGTGGCAGAAATCATGTAACAGGATACCTTATACCACCATGAACTCATGTCATTCAACCTTATCTATGCCCTTAGTAAAGCTTGGCCATTTTAGGTTTCTCTGGTCAGCTCACTCTCTCATTATCCAGAATGCTCAACTCAGACATTTCCCTCAGACTTTTAATTTACCATACCCCCATTCTCAATATATCATCACTTTTTTTTTTTAAGAGAGATTTTTGCTATAGGGCACATGCACTTGCCAGAGAGACAGAGAAATAGAATGTGAAAAATCACCCCCTGGAGGGGTGGCCACACTGCAGTCTTATCTCCTCCATTCTCCTCTTGGGATTTTGAGCATG